CTAATTCTATTTTTTGAATGTTTGGGGGTTTTTTGTTTTGTTATTTTTTTTACTGGCGCTTCCTGTTTATTGGTCTGGCTGGAGCCCGGAGTGGAGACATGATGGGGGGTTGGCAGAAGTGGGGGCGCGGACGCACGCACAGGTGGCCGGGGCGCACACAGGTTCACACACAGGTGGGCAGGGAGGAGTCATGATTCTGTAAATAAATACTGGACACACGGCGCCGTTGCCCCTCTGGACTGGGGTCCCTGGGCACCGTCCACTACTCGAGGCCCGGGCGGTGCGGGTGGGCGGGGGTCCGAGGTGGTCAAGCCCCAGGCCCAGTGATCCTGACAGATGTGGGGAGTCCTGGAGGACAGTGGTCCACATGGAAAGGAGGGGCTGCGGTCAGCAGCGGCCCTAAATGACCTTCTTGAGCTCGTCGTAGACGACCAGCACGAAGGCCCCACCTATGCCCCGCAGGACGTTAGACCAGGCGCCCTTGAAAAAGGCCTTGCCGCCCTCGTCCTTCAAGATCTTACGCCAGCAGTCCGTCATCCCCGTGTACATGATGTCCGCTCCTTTCCGGCCAGACTGCATCATCATCCTTCTCCGCACGGTGTCGAACGGGTAGGACACCTCTCCGGTCACCGCAGTGACTGCGCAATCATCCAGCTGACCACGATGTGCGTGTTCTTGGGGTCCGGGAGCATACCTTTGGCCGTGTCGTAGACGCCGAAGTAGGCGGCCCGGTAGATGATGATGCCTTGGACGGACACGTTGAAGCCCTGGGAGAGGCCGCGGATGCCGTCCGACTTCCTGATCTTGACCAGGCAGTCCCCCAGGCCCTTGAACTCGCTTTCCATGCCCGACTTGCCCACGTCGGTGGCCAGCCGGGGGCGGGCGAAGTCCAGCGGGTAGACAAAGCTGAGCGAGGTGGCCCCGGCCGTGCCGCCGCCCGAGGTAGCGCCAGAACGGCGTGTGCTTGTCCACCCCGCCCAGGAACACCTGCTGGTACTTGTCCTTGAAGGCGAAGTTGAGGGCCAGGTGGGGAAGTAGCGGATGACGTTGGCCAGGTTGCCCCTCCAGAAAGAAAGCATGCCCTGCCCCCTGGGGATGCGCACGATGCAGTCCACGATGCTTTTGTACTGCTTGTCTACCACGATCATCTTGCTGGCGTGCTGGACCTGCAAAAGCAGCTTGACCTGCTCGATCGGGCCAAGACCGTCTTCGAGATGGCGGTGGCGACGCCCCCAGCCAGGAAGTCCTTGGCGAACGAGATGGCCTGTTCCGTCATGGTGGCCGAGAGCGCTGCAGAGCTGGCTGGCTGACAGCCGGGACTGGGTGCTCGAAGGCCGGGAAAGGGAGGCGCCTCTGGCTCCGCCGCTGCCGCCGCCGGGACTGAAAGGCTATTTTTTAAATGTTTTAATCAGGAAAGGTTGTTGGATTTTGTCAAAGGCCTTTTTTGCATCAATTGATAGGATCATGTAGTTCTTGTTCTTTTCTTTGATACTGTGATGAATTAAATTAATTGTTTTCTTTATGTTGAACCATTCTTGCGTACGTGTTATGAATCCCACTTGGTCATAGTGAATTATATTTTTATGTATCGTTGGATTCTATTGGCCAGGATTTTATTCGAGATTTTTGCATCAATGTTCGTAAGAGATATTTGTCTATAGTTTTCTATTTTGGTGGTGTCCTTTCCTGGCTTTGGTATCAAGAATATATTTGCTTTTCCAAAAGGTTAGTGTACTGGGGGGGGGGGTTGGGAGGGGAGAAAAGTGCAACAATGAATGAATGGAAATCCAAAGTCTCTGTAAGTTTTAACTAAAATTAATAATTAAATTAAAAAATAAAAGGGACATATTACTCGGTGCTACTGTCATAACAGGCGTCCAGACTGAAGGCTGCACTGTGGAGTGGACTTGGGAAGAGGGATTGTATAACAATGAAAATTTTTCTTTTACTTTTCAAAGAGAAGAGTCTACTGGGGGGTATGGGGGAGGCATGGGCAGGGAGAAAAGTGCAACAATGAATGAATGGAAATCCAAAGTCTCTGTAAACTTTCATTAAAATAATAATAAAAACAAGGTTAGACCATGTAAAAAAAAAAAAGAACTGGTCAACCAATGACAGAAAAAAAAAAGGGGGGGGGATATATGATTAGGTTTTATTGTCATGACAAGAGTCCAGAACAAAGGTTGCATAGTGGAGTAGACTTGAGGGGAGGGATTGTATAACAATGAAAGAATTTTTCTTTTACTTTTCAAAGAGAAGAGTGAACTGAGGGGCAGGAGTGTGCAGGGAGAAACGTGCAACAATGAAATCCAAAGTCTCTGTAAAGTTTGATTAAAATTTTAAAATATAATAAATTTTTTAAATAATAATGTTTGCTTAATAGAATGAGTATGGGAGAATTGCATCTTTTTCTATTTTCTGAAACAGTTTATGTAGGATTGGTGACTGGTTTTTCTCTGAATGTTTGATACAATTCACTTGTAAACCCATCTGGTCCAGGGCTGTTTTTTGGCTGGAAGTTTGTTTTATTGCCTTTTCAGTTTCTTTTGTAATGTTCAGATGTTCAATTTTGGTTGGTGTCAGTTTAGGTATGTTGTGCATTTCTAAGTATTTGTCCATTTCCCCTGGGTTTTCATATTTGTTTGAATATGGTTTCTCATAATAGTCTAATGTTAGCCTTTTTATTTTAGTTGATTCTATTTGGATGTAGCCCATTTCATCTCTTATTCGGATTATGTGTGCCTTTTCGTTTTTTAATTTTGCTAGTATTTTGTCCCATTCTGCCCAGCTGCGTGCTCTCCGTGTCCCCATAGCACCTCCTGACTGATTTTCTCTCTGTACCTGTAGTGTGACAGAAGCTTTCGGCGCGAACACTCGTGGCACCAGGAGTCAGGAAATCAAAAAACATATTGCGATGGGAAAGTCTGCTGTTAGGGACCTCTCTAAAGTACTCAAGAGCAACGGTGTCTCTCTGGAGACTAAGGTGCGCCTGAGCAACAGTGTCTCTCTGGAGACTAAGGTGCTCCTGATACAAGCCATGGACTTTCCAATCACTAGCTATGCATCAGAGAGTTGGACAATGACTAGGGAGGAGAGAAGGAGAATTGATGCCTTTGAGCTGTGGTGCTGGAGAAGAGTACTGAATGTACCATGGACTGCCAAGAAAACAGATTTATCCTGGAGAAGGTTAAACCAGGCTGCTCCTTGAAGGCAAGGATTCTGGGGCTTCATCTGACATACTTTGGACATGTTGTAAGGAGGGACAGGTCCTCCTCGGAGAGGGACATCATGCTTGGGAGGGTGGAGGTACAGCACAAGAAGGGAAGACCCTCTATGAGATGGACTGATTCAGTGACTGGGGTAATCAGGATGAGTGTATCAGAGGCAGTGCGATTTGCACAGGATAGAGCAGGCTTTAGGGCTATTGTGCGTAGGTTCGCTATGAGTAGCAAACGACTCAACGGCACATAACAACAACATCAACAAGAACAGTGTTGTGTCGATTTTATTGGTCTTTTCAAAGAACCAACTCCTAGTTTTGCTGATGGTTTTAATTGTTTTTTGGTTTTCTATTTCATTTCGTTATGCTCTAATTTGTATAATTTCACGTTTTTTTAGAAGGCTTTTCTTGCTATTCTTTTTCGTTGGAGATGTTGGGTTAGAGAGTCAATGGTCATTTTTTCCTGCCTTTTGATGTGTTTGCTTATAAATTGACCTCTGATTACTGCTTTGGCTGTTTCCCAGAGGTTTGGGTAAGTGGTGTTTTTATTGTCATTTGTTTCAAGAAACTTTTCAATTTTATTTTTTTATTTCTTCTACTTCCCACTCATGTTCAAGCAAGTTGTTGTTCAGCTTTCAAATATGTGGAGGTTTTCCCCTTTATCCTCTTGTTACTAATTTCTAATTTTGTGGCATTGTGGTCTGAGAAGATGCTTTTGTATTATTTCTGTCTTTTTTTAAATTTATTGATGCTTGTCTTATGACCTAAAAATGTGATATATTCTGGAGAACGTTCCAGGCACATTGGAAAAGAAGGCATATTGTGCTTTGGGGGAGGGGAGGGACATTAGCCTATAAATGTCTATGAGATCAAGTTGGGGTTTTGTGTGGTTTAATTCTTCAGTATCTTTGTTGAGTTTCTAGTAGGTCTATCTTTTCTTGAGAGTGGTGTATTGAAGTCTCCAAGTACTATAGTAGTGTTGTCTATTTCCCTTTTCAGTTTTGTTAATGTTGTATCACACATTAACCAAGGAGGAAAACTTTTGTTCCCTTCTAGAAGTGGCTTCTCACCTCTATTGAGGGGCCCAGGACCTCCCTGTTGCCTGAGTTAAGGGGTCCCATGTGGTCAGATCAGACAGCAGTTTATTCTCCAAAAGCTGAGTGCTCAAGGAGGAAGCCTGTTGTTCCCTTCTGGAAGTGGCTTCTTACCTCCGTTGAGAGGACCAGGACCTCCCTGTTTCCTTGGTTAATGGGTCCCACATGGTCAAGCCAGGCAGCAGTTTGTTCCCCAAAGTACCTGCTTCCTCCTGGTGGATGGGTCCCACAGCAGCTTGGCTGGCAGCTTCTGTCTGAGACTCAGCTTGTGGCTTCCACTAGAGCTGGCAGTTTGCTGCTCCTGTGGCTCCCAAACTAATTATTTTAACAAAAGTTCTGACTCAAATTCCTACTAATCACATTGTGCCGTGTTGGTCTCTGCATGCCACATAGGTCTCTCTGGTGGCCTGTTTCTATGTAGCTTGCTGCTCCTCTAGCTCCTTATGCTGTTTCCTCCACTGCTGCCATCTTGGTTCTTTTGTTCACAGTTTTTATAAAACAATTCTCTTTAACTAATTGGCCTGCAACTCTGGTAAATTAAGAAACTGATTATATAGCCTAATATTTCAGCTTTTGTGTAGCTTCCCCAGCAGGTTGCCTATCAAACAGCTGGCTCTAACTCTGGTGTGATTCTTGACAGTTATTTGTTGATGATCTTTAATGATTTACTTTTTTTCTAATTCTAGGATTTCCTTCAAATGCTGTTGGAGAATATTCCAGAAGAGAAAAGGTGAGGTCCAGTTTAGAAATGAACAGTCTAGCTTTGCTTTGAATATTAAAAATATTCCTGTTTTATTTTGTCTTACTAAATTTTATTTTGTCCAGTTTATTTCATATTATCAAAATGTGAATATTCCTCTCCAATAGGAGGCAGGAGTCTAACAGAGCAAGTGGAAGTCATAGCACAATGCACTACCACTTTGGGGTAGGCCGACATGAAGAGGTGTTGATAATCAGCAGGGAAATCAAGTACTTCAGTATGTAGTACATACAAAAGGCAGACAGTCTGTTAAGCTGATGTGAAAAAGTTCTAATGTTTGGGGGCTCAATTAATCTGTTTTACTATAAGGAAACCCTGTTACTGTGGGTGAAATATAACACAGAGCATGGAGTGTCAAGTCAGACTCACTTGGGTCCTACCCCCAACTCTGCCATTTCGTTGCCCCCTCTATTTTCTTTCCCCCAATTTATTTTTATTTTATATTAGTTTGCATATAAAATTCATATGCATTGTATATCATTTATGTACATTTCACACCTTTCTACATTCACATTGTGTTTCAAACAATCATACATATACATTGTTTTATAAAATTAATCACCATTGATGTTTGCCCACTATTACCCCATATTTTCAGGACTCCATTGGAATTTTCCTTCACCACCACCACCACTCCACTGCCTCCAGACTCACCATAGCCTGTTATCTTCATTATATCCTCCTTTCCACACCACTTGCCTTCTATCCACAACCACTATTGGACTTTTCTCCACAGTTTGCTAGTTATTCTTGTAAGACTGAGTTAGTGTACTTAGCATAATGCTGTCTAGGTTCTCCCATATTATATAGTATTTTACAAAATTGTTGCTCCTTAGTGCTATATTCCACTATAATATGCCATTGTATTAAAGTACCACAGTTTCTCTATCCATTTGTTTGTTGATGGACATTTGTGCTGTTTCCATTGTTTTGCTATTATAAATAACACTGATGTGAACATGGGTATACAAATGTCTGTTCTATTTTCCTTAGGATATGTTCCAAGTAGTGCAATAACTGGATCATACGGGGTTTCTATGTTCAATTTTTTGAGGAAATGTCAAACTTCCTTCCAGAGTAGTTGCATCCACAGTATTCTTTTCTTGTGGAGGCCTTCCCTGTACTATTCTGTAAACTTTCATTATGAAAACCTTCTCTGAGATGCTGTTTTCTCCTAGTCAGTAGATTTTCTTTTCACCCTATTGGGAAAAGTTTTGAAGCATACAGAGACTTCATTTTAGAAGGTCCAACTCGTCATTTTATCTTCTCCTGTTTGTTCATTTCAAAAGTTAGGAATAAGGAAGAAGGATAAGTAGTCTTGAGACTGGAGATAGAATGATTGAGTTTTATACAATCAATGATTTATTCACGGCAGCTATCTTTTTTATTAGATTTTTTAAAATGTATTTACTTTTACATTACATGGTTTATTTTTAATTTTCTACTATTTTATTTACAAAACACGAATACTTTGTTTTTAAAAACAAATTCTTTCCATTTCCCTCACCCCCCCCATCAAATTGTACAACCCATGAGTAATCTCCTCCACCCCTTGCACATCCACATCTCTCTGTTCCCAAACTCTCCCACCCCTCTTGGATCCTTATACTCATTCTACAATAATGGTTTAATACAATATTTATCCTTATGGGACTGAGTTAGTTCACTCCACATAATGCTTTCCAGTCCCTCCCAAGTTAGGTAATAATTTACAAACTCATTGCTCCTATGTGCTGCATAGTATTCCATTGTGTGAATGTACCATAATTTCTCAACCCATTGATTTGTGGTTGGACATTTGGGCTGTTTCCATGTTCTTGCGATTGTGAATAATGCTGCTATGAACATTGGTGTACAAATCTCAGTTTGTGCCTCAGTTTCCCTATTCTCAGGGTATATTCCAAATAGTGGAATAGCTCGTATATTCCAAATAGTGGAATTTTTATGTTCAGCTTTTTGGGGAAGTGCTAAACTGCCTTCCAGAATGGTTGTACTATTTTACAGTCCCACGAACAATGTATAAGAGGTCCTTTCTCACCACATCTTCTCCAACATTTATTACTTGTGTGGCAGCTATTTTTTATAAGCAGCACAAACGGTGGCATGGACTTCACCTGACAGTCTTCACAGAAATTAGATTGATTACATCTGTGGAAAGAATGATTGAAGAAGCTCAATATCAGGTTTGAAAACTAGGCCAGGTGCTACTGTGAAACACTCCATCAACTACTCATATGCTGTTTCAAACTAAAGCTAAATAAGGTTGAATAAAATCCACAGGAACCAAAATTTGACATTGAGTTTATCCTACCTGAGTTAAAATAAAACACCTCAGGAATGGGTTTGAGGTCTTAAACACTAATGAACAAAGACCAGATGAGCTGTGGGAGGATATCAAACTATTATCCAGGAAGAATACAGAAAGTAATTACTAAGAGTAGAAAGCAAAGACTGAGATGGATGTCAAGAGATAGCCTGAATATTGTATTGGAATGCTAAGAAGCCAAAGCAAAGGGAAGAAATAAGGAAGTTAAGGAGCTGAACAGAAGATTTCAAAAGACAGCTCGAAAAGACAAAGCAAAGTATTATAACAAAATGTATGGTGAATTTGAGTTTTGGTTTAATCATTAAGATCACACACACATGTAAAATCTTGCAGAAAATAATTTAAACAACTAGAGCTGCCAGACTGAGGGTCAGGTAGAATGTCTGGTTGGTTTTTTTATTTAATCCTCTTATTTAGTGTCAACAAGACATCCTGGAGGGTCCCCAGGCATCTTATTATTATATTTTGGAGGATCATTCATCTAAGTAGTAAAGAACTCTTCTGTAAAATTACTGTACTGGCGTTATCTGGATTTGCTGTGATGCTGAACCTTGTGCCAATGGGGTGTCAAATGCCATAGCAGTTGCCCATGGTGGACAGTATTTGCTGGAGCTCCCAGTTTAAGACAGATTTGGAAGCAGGAATGGCATCCACTTCCTAAACCACATGCCTCTGGAAACCCTATGAACTTGGAGAAATTACATTAATTACAGAAAGGCGTCAGGTCTTTTATTCATAGAGTTGCTATGAGTCATGTTCAACTTGACGCCAATCAACAACAACAATAACAACAATAACAGAGCTGCCAGAGAACTGCCAGAAAGCAAAATGTCTTTCAGAAAAGGACATAGAACAAGGAATATCATCATTAAATCCAAATGGATCTTGGCCAAAAGCTGATATTTACCTTGTTATATTCACTATGAAAAGGAACCTAACAAATTATGGATAGCATTGCAAAGAATAGAGTTGCATATGGACACAACATTTAATTATGCTCATATAGAATCTATGCATAAACAAAAAGGCAGTAAATTGAACAAAACAAGGGGATACTTCATGGTTTAAAATCAAGAAAATTCTGTGTTAGGATTGTATCGTCTTACCATACCTATTATTACTTGCTATGAAAGTTGGTCATGACAGAAGACAAATTGATACCTTTGAGTTGTGGTGTTGAAGAAAAGTACTAAATTTTCCATGGACTGCCAAAAGAACAAACAGGTATTTCTTGGAGAAGGTGCAAGCAGGTTGCATCTTGAGGGCAAGGATGTTGAAGCTTTATCTTACATTCTTTTGGACATGTTGTGCTTTAGCAGGGACCTTGGAAAAGAACATCGTTCTTGGAAAGGTGGAAGGTCAGCAAAGGAAAGGAAGACCCTCAATAATATGGACTGACTCAATAACAGTATCAGTGTGTTCAAATATAGAAGAAATGGTGAAAATGGCACAAAAAAGAGCCGAGTTCAGATCCTTTGTTCATAAAATCACTAGGAGTTGTAGTCTACTAGACAGTATTTCACAACATTATTTAATCTATATACTGAGAAAATGATCCAAAATACTGAACTCTATGAAGAAGAACATGGCATAAGGATTGGAGGAAGAGTTATTAATTACATATGTCATCCAGATCATACAACCTTGCTAGCAGAAAGTGAAGATAATTTAAACACTTAGTGATGAAATTGAAAGATTATACCTTTCACTATGAAATTGCACACTAGCATTACAAAACAAAAATCCTCACAGTGGAATAATAAACAACATCATGATAAATGGACAAAAGATTTACGTTATCAAAGGCAAATAATCCAATTGATAAATGGGCACAGGATATGAACAGACACTTCACCGAAGAAGACATTCAGATAGCCAACAAGCACATGAAGAAATGTTCAAAGCCCCTAGCTCTAAGAGAGATGCAAATCAAAACAACTAAGAGATATCATCTCACCCCAGTAAGAATAGCAAAAT